TCTCTCTCTCTCTCTCTCTCTCTCGCCCACTTCCCCATCTTGGGTCAAGTCCGATGCACATATTTCCATGATCGTCAAGAGTTTCAGCTCGTGCCGGGAAGGCTTGGTTGTTCGGGGGGGCTCAGATACAGTTAAGTTGGGGGGCGCTAAGTACAATTCGAGAAGTCAAAGTGGGACGGAGGTCATGTTCAGACTGGGTTTGTTTGTTTGAATAGCTTCTTTTCTTATCTCAATCAGCGCTGCTTCAGCGCTTCTGTACGTGTGCCATCAGCCCGAGAAGATTAATTTCTCTCTGAGCGGACGAGTGGTATCTAAACGCCAAGTTCAAATGCTATACGTTTATCATTGGAAAAAGAAAAAAGGACCACACATCTCATCAAAAGACTGCGCACTGCAGCGTCTTTTCTGTCCAAACATGTTCAGCCCCGTACTGAGCGGGACCATGGTAGGCGGCATGTAGCTACACACCGCACCGAAACCCCCGTTTGTGGAAAAGATCCTGGTTCATGTCCTTGCTTCCCGACGTCCCTCCCCCCCTTTTTTCACCCAACTCCAGAAAAGAAAAAGTGTAGTAAAAGAACCCCTATTGTTCAATGCTGATATCATCCAATGAGTCCGATCAATGAAATGTCGAGAACGCCTGACGCCTTTCGTATGCTTGCGCCGTGGGTATTCCTGGAATATAGCCGTAAAGCCGTGCCGTTGTAGTAGAATGTTATGTGCTGAAATATATATATATGTCGTATAGATAAAATGTCGATTGCCATTGTTGGAAAGGCATTCATTAAATGGTACCAAATGTATGTGTATAGTAGATTAAATATAACCGCAACTCATAACATGGTGCGCGATGGTGCTGTTGCGAAGAGGTATGGAGCCGTTTATGCACCGCCTTCTTGGCAGGCAATGGCCGCAACTGCAAGCGCATCGAGGCCGCTGCTCTGCGTCCTTGTAGCGCCAGGACGGGTCATGAGGGGATGGGTGAGGCCCCGCATGTCCCAGGAACACTCGGAAGTGACGCTATAGTGGTCGGCATCCCACATGGCGACATCTTGCGATCCGTGGCTGCTGACCGAGGAGCCCGTCGACCGCGCCGAGACGGAGCCGCGTTTCGATGAGCTGCTCAATGAGCTCTTGGATGACGACTTGCTTGACGATCGCGACTTGTCCTTGTAGTGGGTCTCGAGGTGCTGCTTCATGTTATCGGCACGGGTGAACTTCTTGTGGCAGCCCACGTAGGTGCATTGCACAGCCTTCTCCGCTGTGTGGATCTTGGAATGCCTCGAAGCGTGACCAGACGTGGTAAAAGTCTTTTCACAGCCATGAGAGTCGCGGTAGCGGCATGGGTAACGCTTTGCTGTGCGCTCCGGCACGGACGAATTCGAGCTCTCCTCGTCCATGAATGAGTTGGACCGGCTGGCAGCGTCAATGTAGGAAGGGCGCTTCAGTGTGGCAGACTTGTCCGCTGGGTAAATGTTGTCGTATTGGCTTTGGGAGAAGTCGTATACTTGCGGCGTCATTGGGGAGAGGGGATCTGGGTAACTGCTGTTGGAATCATACGAGTTGGACCGGAACAGCTCTGGTGTGTGTGGGAGTGGGGAAGCATCCCCGGTGGTATGATAATGGCTGGCAGCACGATATGTGAGAGGACGCGAGTATGTATCGTCATTCAGTAGCGATACTGAACGGCCTGCGGCGTCTCTGGCTTGCATTTTGGCTCAGGGGAGGGCAAAAAAAAAAAGGGGAGTAAAGTGGTATTTTTCCCAATTTACACACAAGTCTGTTGTATTGCTTCTTTTTTCTGGAGGTTTGGATGTAATATCCTCCTTGGTTGAGATGAGATATAGTACACTTGACTCAGACTAAACGAGCAAGGCTTTTCTGCAATATTGCGAAATTGCACCAAAAAAAATAGATCACGAATCAGGCCAGAGTTGTTGAACGTGAAATATGTCTGCGGTTTGGGTTTTGTTGTTGTTATACCGTAAGAGTACACGTGATAACAATAGTAACTGGTTGCGGCGACGTGAAGTTGTGTGTAGTTGCGCGGCAGGTTGATAACACCTCTGATAACTGGTGACTGACGACTAAGTGGTTGTTGTAGTGAAGGGCCGTGTAGTGTGAGAAGATATCGTTCCTTGAGGATGGCCAAGACTGGTCAAATGTATGTGTATGTCGACGGCGAGGTTTTTGTTTTGCGGTATGTAGGAACTGGAACAGCTTCGTGAGTAAACACGAGTAGAGTAGCGACAAACCAGGTGCGCGAGCTTGGGGTTTAAAATAATTCAGACATGGGAAAGGCATGAATCCCATCGAGTTTTCGCTTGTCCGCAAGCCGCAACAGCTCTCCACAACCCATGTCCATCCTGGTGGGCTCGCAAGTGGAGCTGTACCTTGCTCCGAGAGCAGAAAGCGTACACAAGACACTTGGGCTAGGGCAGCGGATGGTTGAGTGGTAGTGGTTGTAGGTAGGGGTCAGGGGTCCGTTTCCCATGGGACTAAACAGACAGACAGGAGCCAAGCCTGGTGTTGTGAAAATGAGAATAAAAGCGGAGGCGCGCTCTGTACGCAGGCAAAGTACTGACCCAAGTACCGCCCATGTACCTCTTCTCTCCCTCCCAGATGTTGTCCCTCCCCTTTCAGCTAGTTGGCTACTTACATACCAAGAAAAGCCTGAGCCGGTTATCCTGCAGGCCTAAGTCTAGACCCTTCATTCAAATCTGTGCGTAGGGAATGAGGATCGCCTATTGACTTTTGTTGGAAACTCTTTTCTCAGGGTTCTTCAGATGCTGGCGGGCACTTCCATCGGTGCTTGTTTATGCTGTGAAGGCGGATAATATGCTGTGTAATTATGTAAGTTCGAGAGAAGCTTCATGATCAGAGGAATTCACTTTTTTTATGACTCAGGTATTTTGTGTTGTTGGTAAAGTTACCTTTTTGGCTTTTGCTTTATGACATGAGTAATGTACGAACTCAGTCATGTTCTTTTGTGCAAGCAATTTTGTCTTTTTCCTTCGGCTCGCTTCTCTGAAATTTCTCTTTGAGCAATGTGCTTATATGGTACTGTCTCACCAACACCCATGTCGCTTCTTGGGCGGATCAGCAGGCACAAAAGTAACACACGCAGCATTCAACATTGAGCAGGCAGTGAGCAAGCGAGCGAGGGATCCCGGCATCAACAGATCGCCCACGTCGATGAGATCGGGTTCAGGGTATGAAAGCAGTGTTTGCAAGCACAAAGAGACGTGTAGAAGACCCAATTCTTCTTCCCAAAACGTGTCGGTCCTGTACCGGATAATCCAAGAGAAGGAAAAAGAAAACTGCACTGCCCATTTGACAGGAAGGTATTCTCCGGCCGGGGCATGAAACCTGGTCAAGGACCCTTCTCTAGCACTTGCTCCATGCATATCTACCTACCAGAAAACATACATTTGCCCTGATTTCACAATGACGTATGCGGCCGCCAGGGGTGCTTCAACGGAATGGAAGAAGGGACCCTCTCTCTTTGTACTCTATTCTGAGTCTATATTGAGGTTTATATAATAGATTCGATTTTGTAGAGGGGCAGGCCCCGCCAGTGCCCATTCGATCTACTATGTACCGTCATAATTCGCATATGCTGTGTAGACGTACACACCTGTGATTGGGTTATGCTGCACGTTGCGTGTGTTGTTTCCGAATAATCCGCGTGAGAAAAAAAAAGGAATTGAAAAGAAATCGACCTTTTGCAAGGGTCGTTGTGCGGTCAACAGTTTTGACTTTTTTAGACTACTACAATGCAGGTAATATACAATAACATATATACTTTGGGCTACATTTTCAAAGTATAGGTTTGTCAAAGTATAGACTCGGAGCTGGAAATAGTAGCTCTTATAGCTTGAGTAAAAACCAATACCAACAACCAAATAGCTGGTACAAGCGCGAGAGCTATCCGGCTGTAGGTGGTTCGATGCCTGCATTAGACCCTGGAAAACTTGGGGTGGCTTGACCCAAATCCAGGGACCTGTTTGCCTGTCTCTTACTTTTCATACATATTCTTTATTTTTTATTTTAATTTTTTATCTCCCTCCCCCCC